AACATTCGGCTGATATAGTCAGATAAACAATCGCTTCGCGAAGGGATGTAGAAGAACAAGACATTTCCAACTTAAAAGTAGAGTGTAAATACCTGGCAAGAGCTGGAAACGACTGAGAACCCGACGGGTCTTTAATAAAGAATTATAACTAACCATAAAAATAACTACGAAGGAAGATTCTGAGCTGCTGCACACAGGAAGTGAGACCGGCTAGCGTGATGAGGCCAGTGCATCCCAGCTGCAAGAGGAGGTTAGAGCGAGCAAAATGGAACGACAAAAATCGGACTGTTTGTCAGACAGAAACCGTGGGGAGCACTTTGTATTCCGTGAAGATCACTATGACCGAATTGAAAAATCCGATTTCAGTTAGGATATTGTGACGGCAAAAATCAAATACGCAGGGAAGGTTGGGGTTGAACAAGGCCGATTTGGAGGCGACTTACTGGATGCAAAGGTTTGAGCGTGTGTCTATTTGTACTGATAAATATGTCAATGATAGTATGTTATTCATATCTAAATTCTTAAAGGTCTTTTCTCAAAATCCCAGAGAAAGTTGCCCCGAAAGACAAGGGCAAGTAAAAAGTCAATCTAATCAGTATCAAAAGGGCGCATTCTTCTTATGATACACACGGACTATTTGCTGACCTGACTTCGATTTTTGATGTTAATCCAAAATGAGTACTGAAAAATGGTGGAAGGGTTTTAGAATAGCTTTTTTAGATTTGTCTGGACTATCAGTCTATACAGCACAAAGTCGACGATTCCTTTTTGAGCACCTGCACAATCAAACGGTTTAAGACATTTGTCGATCAACGCAAAGTGCACGAGTTATAGACTTAAGTAGGGTCATTGATAACTGGAGTTTTTTGGGAAGGCTCCTTGAAAATAATGGTGCTGTTGGGCAATATTTTTCTGAAATGACACTGTAGGAAATTAATGAATGTGGAGATATCGTTGTATCCAATGTTTCCTTGTCGTGTGTGGTCTAAGCGGTAAAAGCTGAGAAAATCGTACTCAAAATGATAGGGCCGAAACATGGAGGTCATAAATTAAAAGCCGGTCTAGTTCAAGAATTCTGGAGATACCAAGAATTATTTTAAGGTTAGAGGAAGATCCTGAGAACGCCTGACTGGTCAAACATGGTTCAGAATAATTGCGTGACGATAAACGGACGCAACATGGGTGCAGAAATAGTTGGATATATCCGATGCGCGTGAAGCGGTGCAGAAAATCCAACTGAAATAAAATGCTTTTCCAAAAAATCGCTTCACTGAAGAGGTAGTGCAAAGATGACACAGAGTTATTCTCATCAAGACAGTCTTAGCAATAAAGTTTAGCAGTTTAAAACCAGAAGTCAAGATTTAGATTAATGTTTCAGACTTCTTTACGAATATGACATCGAGCTTCATGTCAGACACGCTGCTCTATTGCAGTATAAATAGCAGCACAGGTCGCTACAACACCCATCCCAGCGTAGTGTAGACCATGACTAATTACGGCTTTCGAACTAAAGATATGCGCGATAGTTACGTTTGTTTTGTGCACTGGCACGCAGGGCTGAATCATTGATGGCAAATGATTAGTTTTGATTACCGTCGTTTACGTGGACAGGTCTTGATATGCAAATGTCATGTGCACATACGCCCAAAATAAGACTGGAAACAATAGGCTAGTAGAGGCTGGTAATGTTGATCAGTCAGTTACGCTACTAACGATATATGCATAGAGAATGCACCCATGTTTTGTTGGGTCGTTGCGTAGCTGCCTGCTATTTCGCGTTTTGACGTATAGTTTTGTGTTTCTCGAGCCTCAGAGACTTGCCATACCCGGCGCATCTGTTTGTTCTCTTTTGTCTTCGTTTCAGTACTCTAAAGATTCACTTTCCGCTCTGTCTGATGCTCCGCGTATATTCATATCTTTTTGCAATTCTCACCGAATATTCATATGCCTAGTTTGAGCGCAAAAGACAAGCATCTTTGAAGAACAAATTCTAATATTAGAACGTTTGCGCACTTGGTTTTGATCTGACGTAATTCAGATCGTCTATCATCCAGGTTAATGAGTGGAAGATGTCCCGAATCCATTTGTTTAACATAGCTAATTAGCTTGACGGACTAGATGCGCTATACTCGAATTTTCCCTTAACATTCCTCTGTCTCTTTTTGTGTACGTTCTTATAACTTTCGTTAAACGGCGCTTACAGTCTAGTCTGACGCATTTTCGAACTGGAGTTTTTATATGGTTTCTTTACGAATCTTTTGCACAAACCCCACGATAGCGCGTTCCTTCCAAGCGCACCCGACC